AGTAATGAGAAGAAACAACATCTAGCACCAAGTGCATCCTAAGAGCCTAACAAGTTCGACAATAGTTGATCAATCAGAGTTGAAAAATCAAAATCACTGACTTATCATCATAATTATATGGGGTGCACATATTTTATATTCTTCATATACCTTATAATGTAAATTCTTTCTAAGCACACAAACTTATCTTCAGAGTTGAAAAATCAAAATCACTGAGTAACGACCTATTGATAGACAGCAAAAAGTTTGGCACTGAACATAATTAGGATGTGTACCTGCAAATGGATGGATGTGCTTGATTTTTAGAATGATATCTTGAGAGGTCAACGCAGGTGTTGCCTAACCTGAACAACAAAGGCAATTGATATAGGTTAGAAAGCAATCTCATAAATGAGAAATCCCATGCAGAATGACTGAGATTGCCAATACTAAATAACCAAGGAACATACTATCTCTGTATAAAATAAATGCAGATATGTACTTAACAAGAAAGAGTTCCAGATACATAAAAAAACCGCACGATAAATCTCATATAACTGATGTGAAGAAGAAACAAATCATAGAACTCAACTTCTGAACAAATTAGGACTGAAATTGAAACTCTATAGTTGGCAGTGAGGACATAAAATTCACTGGAGCCTAAATAATACTTCTGAATGAATTTTCACCATCACATTAAAAAGAAACTAAAATTATATTTTCTGTATAGGCTGAGAGGCTAAAATTCAGCTTTCGCTAAAAAGCTATCATAAATACTGAATGACAAGAGTATACTGAAAGATTGATGCTCAATTTAATTTAATTTTAACAACGTCAATGAAATCCAGTCAGTTGAAATTTTTCCATCGACCAGTTGGCAGTTTTAGTCATGGTACATGGATGTTCACAAAGTGAAGGCAAAAGAATAGTTGACCGAATTGTTTCGTGGTGTGCTCAGTCATTAGATGCCTATCAGTTTGTAAACGTTGCAGAGCATATTTGAACAAAGGAGGAGATAATGGCATTTGAAGTTTTCAAGTGTATTTCAACATACTATTTATTATAGCCAATTATTAGTATTACATAAGTCTAAGGGGAGAAACACTAAAACATCAATCTGTCACAAAGTGCCTTTATAACGAGCGGTTTGTAGCTTTACTGTCAGACAGGCAACATAGTAGCTTCAGTTCTCAGTTTCAGTTTATAGGATGCCTGTTACTTCTAGTGAGGAGTGGTTGCCTGCTCGAGATTTAGCACACTGGTTCATAAACATCTAACAATCCAATAAAGATTCAAGTTCAGAAATTTCAGATGCTAGGCCTTGGCCGGTCACTGGACAAATAAATACACCTTTTATGTCATGCCAAAGAAATATAGTAAACAGATTGCATCTATAAATCAAGGATACCAAATATACAAGCTAAAAAAGGCTAACCCTCATAAATCAGCATACACCAAAATATCAGTACAGGTTTTCTGCAGGAAAATCTACCTGGCAATGCACAAGGAAAATAAAATAATAATTGGACCAATGCCTAGAATCCAACAATTCAGGTGTACATATAAGAACAAAAGATATGCCCATAATATGTTCTGAATTTACGCTATCTAAAAAATCCTTTCTTTGTAGCTTTATCATTTGTTCGCAATCCAATTAATAAAACAACAAAGTCTTATTCCTTGTGTGTAAACTCTAGCTTTGTAGATTAAGAACACACAATGATGGGCCTATCTACTGGTAGATGCTATTCAATCAAACCAAAATACATTATCCAGAAAGAGGATATAGCCAAGGCCTACAGATTTGAGAGCGGAGGGAGAGGAAGACGTGCATCACCATCACTGCCTAGAGATGGAGGAGTCAGCATGGAACTCTTGCGAACGGTGGCAGCTTGGAGGGGACCGGGTGCCAGCGGCTTGCAGGGAGCAGTTGACGGTAGCCTTCCTGGTGGCGACCATAGTCACCGACGAGTCCACGGACTCCTACGCGCTCCCTTGGTGGGCGGCCAGGTCGAGGCGGCGCCCCAAGATCCACAGAGTGGAGGGTGGGCGACCGTGACGGCTAGCTGCAACGGGCGCTATGGGGCGAGCATGTCAGGGCTAGCGGAGAAGGAGGAAGATGATATGGAAGGGGAGAGGAGCGAGATGCGCAACTTACTGGTGGTGGTGGTGACGGCTGGCAACGGGCGCTGCAAATGCGCGTGTACGGGAGGCGGTGACGAGAGCTAGCGGCTTCTGGCGGTGGGGATGAGGCCGTCGCGAAGAGTGCCGCCCGGCGTCGGTGGTGGCGTTGACGATGGAGGCGGCCTCGCCGGTGGCGTCCAGCGATGACGTCATGTCCGAGCCTGAGAAGAAGCAGGCGAACCGAGGGCGGGGAGAGGACGACGTGGTGGCGGCGGCGCAGGCGCAGGGTCCGGGGCAGCAGTGCGGCGTCCAGAAATCTCTCTTCCCTTCCCTTCCCTTCCCTTCCCTTCCCCGATGCGTGATCGCAGGCTTGGGCGGACCCACCTGCGCCGCGAGATCGCATGCTCGGGGGTGAAGAGGCAGACCCAAAACAAATATCGTACCAAAAAGTGTCCACGCTTTGTTCTTTTTAGTTGTAGGAGATTCTACTGCTGGACGGAATGGATACATAGGCGGAACCAAGGGGCCAGCAGGGTCCGTGCCCCCCCTCCCCTCAAGCACAGTAGATTTATTTAATACCTATATAAATATTTGAATTTATAGCATTAAAAATACCAACTTTCACCCATTTTTATTAAAATATTATAATTTTCATTACAAATAGTGTAAAAATTTTTAAAAAGTTGTTAAAACATATAATTATGTATATTTTATCCCACTAAAAAAATACAATCATATTTGTCCATACCCCTTAATCAAAATCGCTGGTTCCGCCAATGAATGGATAGGATGGAAGTTAGCTTTACACTCTTTGTTATGTATATCTTGATCTTGACAAGGGAGTTTTTTTTGTACCCATGTCGTTTTGCTTTTCTAGAAGGAGAATCAGGTCCCAGCAAGCTGGTTCCAAGTCAATGAGATTACCTAACAACAGGTCAAGAAACATCCACACTAGTAAAGTGGGTGTTCAACAATCACCCATGTGCTGAGACTGTGAAAACATTAATCAAGACTGCTAGTTGCATGACTCAGTCATCGTTACTCCTTGCTTATGTAAGTTGAGTAATCTAAGGGGTTACTGGCTGTCTCCTATTTTTTTTATATATAATTAGCAGCTTCTCCCTTCCTAGTTGCATGCGTCCGTGATTCAGTATAGGTTTCACAATTTTTTACCAATGATCGGTCCAACTTCATCATTAGTTTATATACGGACACAATGATGTGGTACCATTAGGACCATATTTGAATACATTGAGCCCAGATGCAGCTACCCCACTCATCCTATGATGTCACTCGATTTCTGCCGTTAAGTCAAGAATAAGAGTTGAGATCGAGGCACGTCACCTCAGAGGTTGAGGTGATCGAGGCTCAATCTCAACTCCATGTGCTCACTAAATATTATTCAGTGGTCAAAATTCAACCACACGACAAATAAAAATGAAAATCGAATACATTATTAGAGTGATACAAGATTAGTTGAGAGTTGAGCATGTGAGCTTTGTATTAACCACTCCAATGTCAGGTTTGGATGACCACTGACTTCTTTTAACCAGAAAAAGGTTATTCAGTGAGACACGGAAGTAATAGGTAGTTAGGCCACATCATTCATTCCTTTTTTAGGAGAGCAGCACTGAAACCATTTGAGGCACTTTTTTTTGTATTTGTTACGGATAAGCTTTGTCATTAAATATTTTTATTTATAAAAAGATAGTGGTTTAATATTTTCCTTGTACAAAAAACGTTTCTAGTTAAATATTTTGACTATACAGGTGTGAACAGAAAGGAGTGCAAATCAATGACTTGACCTCAAATGCCGTGCTGAAGCTTCCTTGTAGTTCTGCTAGCTTGCAGCAAAGCTGCACTGTCACTGTGGCCTAGTATTAATCAAACCTTATCTTTGCTTCGAACCATAGGAGATTAACATTAACAAGGAAATTAGGTGACTATATATATGAGACCTAGCTCATGGGCTGAATTCCGGTTGGGCCGAGACACGGTAACCACGCGTGTGGACTGTGACCCGAGCTGTAGATGAGGGTACTGTAGCTAGGTGGGCTGGGCCAAAACAGGGTACTGTGGCACGCAGCACTGTTGTTCAGTCACTGTTCACGAGGGTACTGTAGCGTCACGAACCATTGTGCGCCCGCTTTAGTCCCAAACTGTGAATCTAGGACGTTCAGACCGACTTAAATAGCCAGGTCAAGGACGCGTAGTTACATTCGGTTAATCGTTTTGCGTGAAGCGAGGACAAAAACACAAGCAGGTTGCTACGTAGGTGGGGTCCACCCCTCGGTAGAGTGGGTCTGCCATGTGCTGGGCCTGGGGCGTTACAAATAGTATCAGAGCCAACTCTCGCGATTTCTCGCTCATATAGCTCGGGAGCTCGGATAGGTTGGCACTTGGGGCGGGAGCTGGGAATATGGACGTGAGCCAAGAGAGTCGATCCTGAGCATTTGTCCCGTAAGGATAAGCCGGTCAGGCATTCGACGAGGACGTCGAACCCATTGAGGGTGGGTGGAAGTGAGACCCAGCTCATGGGCCGAATTCCGGTTGGGCCAAGGCACTGTAACTGCATGTGGGCTGCGGTCCGAGGTTGTAGTCGAGGGCACTGTAGCACCGAGGTGGGCTAGGCCAAAATCAGGTTACTGTGGCACACAGAACTGTTGTTCAGTCACTGTTCGCATGAGTTACTGTTGCATCACGAAACACTGTGCGACCAGACTTTAGCCTATGGTTAACCGTTTTGCATGAAACGAGGATGAAAACATAAATGGATTGCTATGTAGGTGGGATCCACCCCTCGATAGACTGGGCCTGGGGCGTTACAATATATAAAGCGAAAATTAGATAAATATCATTCCCAAGGAAATCAAGAGGTCATCTTGGGCAAGTAAGCTATGGCCCTTGGTTGCCGGTGTGTGTACGTATATACATGGTGCGAGGAGTGATACACACCAATCATGCGTAACTTGTGCAAGTTTTTTTTTCTATATTCACAATGTTAGAAATGAATAGTTTAGAAGCACATATTTGTACTTCAAAATATTATTATTGATAGATGATGTATCTAAGTTGGACATTCCGGTGGTACATTAGGTTATTTCTAATAATGACTAATGTAAGTAATTTAGGGGTTACTTTACATTTAGTTTTTTAATGGCATAGGTTAGGTTTACTTTAGGTTATTATGGTGGATACGACTAATTTTAGATGCAAATTTAGGGACTATGTTACATTTTTTATAATGGTATAGTTAGGTAATTTAGATAAAGATTAGAGCATTAGTGGAGCTTAGTTAAGGCCAAAAGGGCCATGCCCCCCCCCTAAATTTTCATATTGCTTTGAAGATTTGTATCTTATCATGCTATAGACATTGTTCATGTATACTTTACCTCTGTTGATTAACAACTTGTAGCCAAAATTTGTAAAGTGTCAACTTTTTCTAAAATACTCCCTCCGTTCTAAATTATAAATCGCTTTGATTTTTTTGGTACATCTATTTTGCTATGTATCGATACATAGCAAAAAGGATAAACAAAAATGTCAAAACGATTTATAATTTGGAACGGAGGAAGTAGTAGTAGTAAAATGCCTCGTGATAATTTTAACAGCGGTAAAGATATAACCACTTTTAACTGGTCACAGTAACAATCGCAAGCGCGTGTTGTCAGGAGACGGTTGGTTATAAAGGGAGGGAGCCTTCCTGAAGTGTCCCATGTACACGCTAAAGTTAGACGGTCTCCAACAACAACGACCCAAAATACATGACATATTTGTTCTTTAGGTAGCGCTACAAGACAAATGGTTCAATACTTCTCCGACAACAAGATTCAAAAGATAACATTTTCTGCAAATAATCTCTCTAGAAAAGAGGATACTCAAATTTAGATTATGCCCTAATGACATTTAAAATAAATCTTTCGTATAATACTCTGGTAGAGGAGACCATTTTGGATTTCGATTCCGGCAATGGGTCTCCTTCTCGAGACAGCCTTACCCCCATCATCATAACGCGAGTCATCGAGTGAGTCCCATCCTTATCGCCTCTGCTCTGCAGCGTCAATCTCCTTCTCCTCCTTGGACGCTGAGCTAAAGCCCACCGCGCACGCGACTAACAGCCGGACACGTGAAACCAACGTACTCCTATGGGCGTTGCCTCGCCCTCGCGCGCGTCGTAACCGCACACGCACACACGCCAAGCGTGGATCGCCCCAGACCCAGAGAGAGCGCCGCCGCCGCTGCTCCTGCCGCTCACCAGGGCGCCCGCCGCGACGACAGGGCTCCGCCGCCGCCTCGACCTGCCGGCCGCGGCGAGGCACAGGCGGCGGCGGCGGCAGGAGGCGGCGGTGTCTGGTGGCGTCCCCCGTTGCGCGCCGAGGACGAACACGCCGTCATCGTCGCGGCGCTCGCGCACGTCGTCGCCGCCGGGAGGCAGGCGCAGCCGCCACCGGCCGTGCTCGGCCAGCAAGGTACGTACGTGCTCGCGCACGGGCCCACGTGCGTCTCTGCTATCGATTTTTCTCTGAGGAATAGGAGTATATGTCATTCAGCTAGCTTTGCAAACCAATCAAATCCAATTTACGGCCTTTTGTTCTAACATAGGAAAAGAAAACTGGTTGTTGGTAAGTACTAGTTTGCAAAGTTTATTCACAATCGATCAACAGTACTATGAATGAATTACTCTACTGTATGTATGTCACATTTCTGACGACCTGACACGCTCCCTCTGCTGTGTGTGTGTGTACGTGGATTGATTCAGTGATGCTGATGCACCGGACCGCGGCGGCGCCGCCGCCGACGGTGGAGCCGCAGCAGCGGCCGCGGTACCGCGGCGTGCGGCAGCGGCCGTGGGGCAGGTGGGCGGCGGAGATCCGGGACCCGGTGAAGGCGGCGCGCGTGTGGCTCGGCACCTTCGACACCGCCGAGGACGCCGCGCGCGCCTACGACGCCGCCGCGCTCCGCTTCAAGGGCGCCAAGGCCAAGCTCAACTTCCCCGCGGGACACCAGTGCCAGCAGCCGGGCGCCACGGCGGCGGCTTCGACGTCGGCGGCGCTGGCGCCGGCTCCGCGGTGGGGGACGCGCCACGCCGCAGGTCCGCCGAGCGCAGCTGCGGCTGGTCCCGGTCAGGAGGAGGTGGAGTTCCCGGACCTCAGCCGGTACGCGCACATCCTGCAGAGCGGCGGCGACCTGGACCTACAGGCCATCGCCGGCGCTGGCGGGCTGACGCCGGGTCGGTCCTCGACCACCACGGCCTCGGCGTCGTCATCGTCGCCGCCGGCGCCGTCGGTGGATTGGTCGCCATGGCGAGGTCCTACCTAACCAGATGCATGCATACAGTAGTGATGATCAGCACACATGACACATGTAGTTAGTAGTTAGTATCCTTTTAGTCCTTCGAATTAATCCATGGAGCTACAACATTTAGCGACTTTATTTTTTATATAGGAAAGTTGACACGTTTGTGAGTCTACGACTTTGCTTGTGAAAAGAAATGCTACTAATGTATATTTTTAGTCGTTCTGATTTTTTATGTATATACTAAATCCGTTTCAAACTATATTTCGTTTAACTTTTTTGTCCCTAAGTTTGACCACTCATCTTATTCAAAAAAATTATGCAAAATATCACTTCTTTTATTGTGGTTTACTTTATTAACAAAAGTTTTTCAAGAATGACTTAAATTTGACTATGTTTACACAAATTTTTTTAATAAGACAAGTGGTCAAACTTTGGATTAAAAAGTCAAATGAACTATAATTTAGACCGGAGGGAGTAGCTTTTTTCTATACATTTAGAGATATATATATACTATGTTTACATTCATAATTTTAATTTTTATTATGTATCTAGAAAAAATAAAGTGATTTACAATTTTGATTTGATCGACAGAGACAGCATAGATTTAGGTACCGTCGAAGTTAAACTATCTTAAATTTAACTAATATATATGACTCTAAATAGTTAGCTCCCATTTGGTATCGCTCAAAGAGCACCTTCTCGAGGAGACCAACCACATGGGTCATGGAGGAGCAGCTTCACATAAGGAGTCTTGGATTTCCTGCTCTCCAGAGCACAAGGCGAGAGTGAGAGCCAGAGAGCCCTGTTTGTTTGGACTTATCAGCTATGGTACTAATATTTTTTTCTCACAATAAAACAGCATCATCATTTATCAGCCGCAAAAACCATTAACCGAACAGCTCGAAGCTTCTTCAGGCTCCATCTCACTCCTGCGGTCCCATATGCCTGAAGAAGGTGGGCTTGAAGACAGTGACGGGAAAGAGAGTCTCAGCCACAGACGTGAGGAAGAGGAATGCATGCTGTAGCTATTGGCAACAGGGGAATTACTGGTGATCGGGGCGCAGGTAGCGGCCGCTAACATCTGGAGGGGTGCGATCGCTGCCGGTTGGAGCACATGTCGCGGCCACCAATGTTGGGAGGGGCGTGAGATGGTCGGGGAGTCGCTAGAGGGGAAATGATGTGCGATGGCGTTTGTGAGAGGAGGGGCGGCATGGCGGGGGGGGGTGCGGGAGGGGTGATGGCACGGTGTGATTGAGCGAGAGAGATACTGGCGGAGGTGAGAGAGAAAGGAATGAACAGGTAGTGAGAAAAATAACCTAACGACAAGTGGGTCCAATATATCAAGTTGGTCCATAGTAAAAAAGAAGAGCTATTTTACTGAACGTTTCTCTAACAATTGAAGCCAGAGACATAAAGCTAGTCCATAAAAAAACTGAAGCTGAAGTTATTTTAGCTTAAGCCGGAGCTCTGCCAAATGAACCCTTAAAACATATATCACGACGAATTTAATGGTACATATCTAGCACGATACATGCTAATAGGTTTATATAAAATCAGTAAAATTTTAGATTACATGACTTAGCACTACTACCTCTGTTCCAAAAAAGAAGGTGTGTTATTTGTTAAAGTGCCTAAAGTTTAATCAAATATATAGATAAAAATATTAATATTTATATACTAAATAAATATATTATAGAAATATGTTTGATGCCGAATCTAATGATATCTATTTAATAGATAAATATGAGTGATTTTTTATATATCTGATTAAACTTTTAACATAGCAATTACACTAGCTTTTGTTATGGAGGGAGTATTTTACACTTACATTAGCTTCAGTATCAGTGGCTTTCACACAGGATCTGAGACGTCGAATATGCGCAGGTCGTACTCGTACGGGGTACCATATGAACTGAAGCGAGTGACAGTTAAGTTGACAATACATTAATGACAGTTTGGGCGTATCAGTATCACCAAGTGTGTGGTCAAATGCTGCAACTTGCATTGCTTTTGCTTTGGACGGGCACAAACTGGAGTGTACAGTAGGTGCAATTTGCTCAATGTGGGGTGGGGATTGAAATTGAGGACTCGGGGACCATGCATGAGTCATACACGCCATTCTTATCTGATTTCATCCAAGCCCCCAGCGGGACAGAGTACACTGGACAGGATAAGAAGGCGAAAGCTAGCTCCGGCCGGGTCTATGTCTATCTATCCATTCCAAGTTCTCCAAGCCAGCCAGCTAACTGTTTCCGGCCAACTTGGTCGCTGTGTTTTTACCAAAGTGCGCTGTGTCCAAAGTCGCCGTCCCAAAGAAACAATGGCGATTTGAAGGTGCTCAGATCAGATCGCCTAAAGGCATCCTCGAGGAACTCGATGCCAAACAACGTTGTTTTCATGTGGACGGGCGCGGCCAAGCCTGGGCATAATTAACCGATGACCGAAGACCGAACCGAACTAACTCAGACCGAGACCGAAATTTTCGGTCAAAAGTTCGGTCCCTAGTCCCAACTAACTGAACTTTGTTAGTTCGGTCATAGGTCTCAGTTAACCGAACTGACTGAAAAACCCAAAGGTACTGTTGCTATAGAAAGCCCAGGAAAAAAGGCCAAGCCCATGTACATAGAACCCTAGTAGACATATTAGCCTCCACCGTCGCTGTCCAGTCTCCCGTGACTCCCTCCAGAGTCCGAACCCTCCGCGGCTCCGCCTCCACCTCTACATTGTCCGTCTCCCATGACTCCCTCATGACCCTCCTCGTCCACGGCTCTAAGGCACCGCACCAAAGACACTGACAAGATCCCGAAGCGGCGAGCGCGGTCGGCTGACAATGGCAGAAGCGCGAAAGGCAGTGAGGGCAAGCCATGAGCATGAGCACGCACGCCGCACCTGCGCAGCCTTAGAGACGTCGGACCGGTGACCCCTGTCCAGACGCCCCAAGCCGACCGCGGAGGCGCAGACGCCAGAGCCCGGAGGGGTACCGCAGGCCGCCACCCACCTGGGACCATCAGAGTCTGCTGAAATTTGCTCGCGGTTAGAAAAAATGCTGCCGAAATTTGCTACAAATCATGCTGTTTTGTTGTTACTAGTCCAGTCCGATTAGTTCGATCGTGATCGAGACCGAACCGAACTAATCGAGACCGAATTTGCTCGGTCCTGCCTTTATTCAAACCGACCGATCGGTCCCTAAAATCTGATGACCGAACTTGTTAAGTAACCGAAGAACTGATCGGTTCGGTTTGGTCTGACCGAATGCCCAGGGTGAGGCACGGTACACGCAGGATAGCTCCAGCGGTGTAAAAAAGATCTAGCTTATAGAATATTTTATGAGTAAGAAAGAAAGATAAATTTGTTCGTTCTGAATAGCTAAGCTTATACGTTTTTTACGATAGTGATACAATTAAGATGTCCGGACGGACGAATGCCTCTCTCCGCTCACTCCCGCACGAGCCACTCGCCCAGCGACCCTATCCGCTCATCCCGTCCATGCACCCGATGCTCCGTGCGTCGTTTCCTCCCTGCGTCGTCGTGCCCATCCGATCCGCCCACCCTAGTCCACCTCACCACCGCCGGTCCCCCGTACCGCCATGCCCCATCCCCTATGGCCTCCTTTGCCTCCTCCGTGTCGCATTCCCCATCGGGCCTAGCCTCGCCCGCCTCCACCGAGCCGGCGAGCCCCAGCAAGCAGGTGAGGGGAACGAGATTCGTATGACGCCATGCCCACCGGCAAGTTGCCCGTGCTGCTAGCCCCACAGCGAGGTCCATGCGCCTCCGTCGACCTCCGCGCCGACGTGCCTCCGTTCGTCCAAGCAAAGCCCATGTTGCAAGAGTATGTTTCAAGTGTTTTAGATATTTCATCTGGATGTTGCAAAAGTAGATCAGAATGTTGCACATGTTGTAGTGGCTATACATGTATGTTTTAAGTGTATGTTCTAATTGTTTTATCTCGTTTTTCCAGACGTATGTTTGCAAGTTTTTCATCTAGATGTTGCATATGTTTTCACACATATGAAGTGTTTTCAGGTGTTTTTTGCAAGTGTTTCATCCGCATGTTAAGAGTGTTTCAGCTGTATTGTATGTATGTTGCAAGTATTTTATCTAGATGTTTCAAAAGTAAATCTGGTGTTGCAGCTAGTGTTTTAGATGCATGCTTCATGTGTTTCATCTGCCTTTAGATGTATGTTGCAAGTGTTTCACCCGGATGTTTCAAAAGTAGATCACCGTTGCATCTCTATCTTCGCTTTTAGCTGCCTCACCTTCACCTCGGTGTCTCCTCCTCCTCCTCCTGGCGCCGGCTGGGCATTCGCCGCCCCCTCCCCCTCTTCTGGATGCTGGCGTAGCCACATGTTGTAGTCACCTACTGCAGCTGCTGGCCGTGTGCATCCGCGTGAGAAGTGGACTCCCCACGTGCAGTTGGCGGCGTGGGCCCTGCATAGGCAGGCGTGGGATGCGGGTTGAGATGGAGTGCAGGCGCGGGCATCTATCCGGACATCCGGGGCCTAACACTGACGTCTTCTTATAATTCATGTGTCTATGTGTGGTAGAACCACCTGAAATAATATGCTTCCAGAGGTGCTCGTCTTCCACTAGACACTAAACACCCCGAAAGTAAGCTGCACCAGGCGGTTCCATCGAGCATATCCCAAGGGAGAACTTGAACAATCCACATTTTTCATCCAGAATCCAATAATGAGAACGGGTTTACAATACTTAGTCCATTTCATACAACAACAGTTCTCGAAAATACATTATTACAATACCAAGTTCAGAGTGCGGAATTTAAACAACAGAATTGAAATAAACATCTAATGATAAGATATAAGGATCAGTCTGTTCCCACCAGAAGAATCCTCCACACAGCAACCACTCCTCAAGCTACATGTGCAACAGGGGTAAATAAACCCTGAGTACACAATGTACTCGCAAGACTTACACGACTAGTGGGAATAATTTCCCGACTCCAAAGGATATGATAAGCTTTATGGTTTGCTGGGTTTTCTTTTTGCGAAAAACATTACTAG